AGGGCAAAAAAGTAAGACTCTGTCTCTAAAAACAAACAAAAGTATTACTGAATTTCCAAATATTTTAAGATATTCTCATTTTATCTAAGTTAGCTCCAGTGTTTCATTTCGAAAAAATATATCCTGTCTGATTTCAATCCTTTAATATTTATTGCAACTTCTTTGATGGCCTAACCCAGGACTTGGCAAAAACAACCACAGGTCTACTCCAACCCACTGCCTATAGTCGTGGAAACCTGAATCCATCATGTAGTATTCTGTATCATTTGTATGTACTGATGACATATATTAATTAAATAAAAGTAATAATACATGTTGTTTCAATCTACATCCTTGTTTTCTATCTTTGTCAGTTCCTAAGAGTTTTGTTCAAAATCTGCAATTATTTCTTTTAGTTTTGTTACCAATGCTGTGTATGTGTGTTTAGACACTTATAAGGTGAGTAACAATTTGAGATTATATAATTTTTTCTGTTAAACTGATCCTTTATTATAAACATGTCCAACTCCTGTGGTATTCCTTGTCTTAAAGAATACAATAGGCAAGGAGTATTTTGCCAGATGAGGTTTCTGTATGTACAATATCATTTTCTTTCCTGCTAATTTCAACCTTTTTTTGCATCATTATGTCTAAAGCTTATTTCATGTGTAAACAGCATATAGCTATGTTATGTTTAACCCAGTGTGTCAACATTTTTAAATGAAATATTCAGATATTTTATAATTAACGTAAGTTACCCATTTTTCTATTTCTTTTCTAGTCATCCCATCGATTCTCTGCTGCTTTATTCTTCCTTCTCACTTTCTTTTGGATTAATCAAGTGTTTTTGTTATTATTTCACTATATCTTCTAATTTTTCTTTCTTTTATTATCCTTTCATTGGTTACCCAAGAGAGTACAATAGGCAAACTTAATTTAAATCAGTACTTTTACCACATCCCAAATATGCACAGACCACAAAACAGTTTAAATTTATTTACTCATTTGCTTTGTACCACAGCCATATATTTTGTTTCACTCTTACCTGTGTTATAAATACCATAATAGTTTATTACTGTTGCTTGAAAGTTAATATTGTCCTATATTTATTCACAAGGTTACATTTTCTAGGGACTTTCATCCCTTCCTTTACCTCCACAGTTCTACCTAAATAATTTTCCCTTAGTCTGAAGACTTCCCTTTAGTATTTCACATAATGCAGTTCCGACGGCAAGAACATCCTTCAGCTTTATTTGTTTAGTTTAGAGCATCTTGGTTTTACCTTCATTTCTTAAAGATATTTTCAGCTGGGTAAAGCATTCCAGATAGGTTTTTCTTTTTCTTTGTCCATTTTACCACTTTAAAGATGTTTTTTCATTATCTTCTGGCTTTAATAATTTTATTTAAAAGTCAGCTGTCAGTCTCAATGTGGTTCCCTGAAGAAAACTGTCCTGTCTTCTCTGCTTTATCTTTGATTGTCAATAACTTGACTGTAACATACTTAGATGTGCTTTGTTTGTGTATGTGCTTATGCTTATCTTGTTTGGCTTAGTCATTTTCCTGATTCAGAGAGTTAAAGTTTCCTATCAGATTTGAATAATTCTCAGCCATTTTCCCTTCAAATATTTCTCTTTCTCCTTTTCTCTCTTTTGAAATTCCAATTTCACAGATTTTATATGTAGAATTTCTTTCACGTCCCACACAACTCTTATGTTCTGTTCTACTCTTTTTCTTTTGCCGTGATTCAGTTTGGGTATTTTCTACTGACTTGCTTCTGAGTTTGTTCATCCAGACTTCTGATTTTGGCAGTCTGTTCTGTAGTCCATCTAATTAATTTTCAATTTCAGATACTGTATTCCATAGTTCTAGGACAGCAGTTTGGTTTTTTTTTTTTAATGGCCAATTATCTATTGAATTCCTTATCTTTTCATACATTAACTTGTCTACTTTCTTCACCATAGGTATTTGTTACTTTAAATTCCACTCACAACTATTGGTCAAAATTAATCACGAGGCTTCATCAAAGCACAAGGGTGCCAGGAAATACAGTACTATCTTGTTTGGCAAAGATACAGAGGTAGAAATATTTGTCAAACAGCACTAATGACTAATTTCTGATCCCAAACATCTATAAACTTGTTTACTACAGCAAACCCTCTTTTGTGGGCTAATTTATTATGAAATTAAGTGTTTTCCTATAATTTTTTATTCCACTGGTGGGGATTCATTGAGGGTACAAAGAATCCAGTTACATTGACTGCATTTGTTAGGTAAAGTCCTTCTTATAACTGTGTCCCGGATTTTTAATAAGGGAAATTTCACTTCTTTTCCTAACCTTTGAATAGAAAATGAATTCTGGATATATTCAATATAGATTCTCATGAATTGACAGAAATAGTCTATGTTTTTAAAACTTTTAAATTGAGGTTTATTACAAACATAGAAACATGTAAATATAAGTGTACAGGATTTTTTTCCTTTTTCTGAAGACAAAATCTCATTCTGTCACCCCAGCTAGAATGCAATGGTATCATCATAGCTCACTGCAACCTCTAATTCCTGGGCTTCTACCTCAGCCTCCCAAATAGCTGGGACTACAGGCACATGCTGCTATGCTCAGCTAATTCTTCTACTTTCTGTATAGTTAGGGTCTTGGTCTTTTTCAGGCTGGTCTCAAACTTCTGATCTCAAGTGATCCTAAACCCCTGGTCTTCCAGACAGCTGTGATTATACGAAGGAAGGAACCACTGCACCCAGCCAAGTACTACATATAGTTTATAGTGAACACATCTATGTATCCATTCCCTGGGTCAAGAAACACAACATCACCATTATCCCACAGGTCTCTCTCATTCTTCCTCACAATCACTATTCATTTTCATCCAATGTTTCATGCCCTCACTTCTAAAATCCTATAGGAATTTTGTCTGCTTGAACTTACAGATAAATAGAACCATATAGAAAACAAAACCATATATTCTGGCTTCTTTTATTTAACATTAATGTCTGTGACATTCATCCACATTGTAGTTTTTATTTTCTTTCTGTATATTAGTCCATGAAGACATCAAAATACAGTCACTCATTCATTCTTACTGGACATTTGGCTTTTTTCTACTTCAGGGGTCTCTCTAATGATGATATACAATCTTGTACATTCCCAAGCATTCTTCTGGTGATGTGCATGCACCTCTCTGAAACTGTTTGGCCAAAGGACATATTCAACACTTGTAAATACTATCAACCAGTTTTCAGAGGTATAATTTGCAGTCCCATCAGAGCATACGACAGTCCTCATTTTTCTACATTTTATCCAATATCTAAATGCAGTAAGATGAAGCAGTTCAAATAGAAATTTAGTATCCCAATTGGAAAGGACAGTGAATGCAAAATATACAATAGATTTCAAAGGCTTAATCCATAAAAAGTAAAATCTCAATTATTTTTTGAAATTGAAGACATGCTAAAATAATATTTTAGATGTACAAGGTTAAAAATACTGTTAAAACTAGCAGGTACAGTGGCTTATGCCTGTAATCCTAGCACCATGGGAGGCTGAGGTGGGTGCGTCATCTGAGCTCAGGAGTTCTAGGCCAGCCTGAGCAAGAGTGAGACCCCACTCTTTATCTCTACTAAATATAGAAAAACTAGCTGGGATTGTGGCAGGTGCCTATAATCCCAGCTACCTGGGAGGCTGAGACAAGAGGTCTCTTGAGGGTCAAGTTTGAGGTTTCTGTGAGCTATGATGTCACAGCACTTTCACTTGAGTGACAGGGACTCTGTCTCAAAGAACAAAAAATATTACTAAAACAAATTTCATCTCTTTTTTCCCTACCATTTTTAATGTGCCTACCAGAAATTTTTAAATAATACATGTGGCTTACAAAATCATTCTGTTACCTAGTACTGTTCTATACAATACACACACATATATAAGGTAACTGAAAACTCAAAAATATGCAACCTGTTAAAGTATGGATATCTCAAAAACTACATAATGCTTGTTATATAAAGCAAGTTAACTGCTCTATTCCAGCAGACAATACCCCAATTTTAGATGTATAGATCACTTGCTCAATTACTGAATCATTATTTGTTTTGTAAGACAAAATTGAACGTTAGTCACTTGTAGTGTCTGCCTTCTAAAAGAAATGATCTTAACTTTAAGTTTAAAATAAAACGCATACTGATTACAACATACAAGAAAACACTTTCACTAGTAAAAATTTAAACCAAGTCTTACTGGCTAGTGATTTAAGTCATTAATACCCTACTGCAAAACCAGTGGATTCAGAAAACAAACCATCTTTCACACACTGCCCCAAACAACTGCTAACAGAGTATACTCACTACAAGCTAAATACAATGACGGAAGTTTGGCCTTCCTTTGGATTACATATTGTTAACAGGTGGTGGTCTGACGAAAGCAGGAGAGAGACTAGCTGGTCTCAGACCTAAGATGAACGAATTAATGATTAATTACAAACCACACACACTAGTCAATGTAACGACTGAATAAGCTAAATACGTCATAACAACATCTAATGGCCTTTGAGACAGAAAGGATAGAACCAGTCTGCCTGAAGTAAAGGAAGGGTCCCTCCCTGGATACGCTAGCTGAAAGCCCAAAGGAAATGCTGCCCAGCACAAGGCACTCCCGCTCTGCGCCTCTACTGCGTCAGTTATTTGCATTTTCCTGCAGGATGAGCAAAAAATACTTTGTCATCCTCCCACTCCTAAACAACTCAGAAGGGTCTGAAAGGCAATTACGAGGCTTTACCGCGCTGCTCAGGGTGACCGCGGAAAACGGTTCCTATTCTGGGTCCTAGAAGGGATACAACCAGTACATGCACCTGACCTCTGACACTGGCCACCCCGGCTGCGGGGTGTTGCTGCTCCCACCTTTATGAAGCAAAATGAACAAAGCGCTCTAGAACCTTGATCTACAGGTCGGCTCCCTGCCGGGCCACTCAGCCCTACAGGTGTGCGAAGAAGCGGACCGGCCCCCGCCGCTCACTTACCCAGGTTCAAGGCCTGGTCGCACCTGAGCAGCGCGGCCTCTGGCTGCTGCTGGCGCTGCAGGCTCCGCGCCTGGCCCGACAGCCTGCGGAGGCGGCACTCGGCCGGGAAGCACTTCTCCAGCAGGCCGCTCAGCACCACGTTGACTCGCCGCTGCTGCGGCCTCGCCGATCCCGGCTCCACGCAACGCTTGCAGACCGTGAGCCCGCAGGGCAGCGTCACCGGCTTGTGCAGCAGCCGCCGGCAGCGCGGGCAGCCCAGCAAGTCTCGGGGCGCAGCGGGCGTTGAGGCCGGCTGTCCCTCGGCCGGCTCCTCGGGCGCGCGGTCCGGCTTCCCCGCGCCCAGCCGCCACTCGCGCAGGCCAAGGGCGCGCGCCAGGCCGCCCGCCAGCTCCCCCAGCTCCTCCGGCTGCAGCGCCCCGAGCCGCGCGGCGCCGCGGAACGCGCCCAGAGCCTCGGGGAGGCGGCCGGCGCGGGCCAGCGCATCCCCCAGCCGCAGGCACAGGTCGCGGTCCGGCTGCGCCAGCCCGGCCAGCATGGAGCGGAAGAGCTCGGCTGCCATCTCGAACTCGCCCGCGCGGAAGGCCTCGTCGCCTTTCTCCAGTCGCTGCGCGAACGGCTCTCCGCAGTCACAGCCCGGACACTGGGGCGGGGGCGGAGGCGGCGGGACCGGCTCGGGGCTCATAACCGCGGGGCTGCGACGGCGACTCGGGCCCGCAGCGAAGACGCAGAGGAGGAAGGATGCTCGCTGCGCA